AAAAACATTGACAAGGTAAATGTGAGACATCAGGTCGCTTCCTGGTAGATGCCAAGATGAAACTGAAGCTAAAGATGCATCGGACGACTGGAAAAACAGTATTACAAAGGTTAAATGCAGACTTTCTTCGAGATACCGACAAACTCTGGGGATTCGAGATAACTCCCTTTGGGATATGGTACGAAAGATTTCATCCTGCACTATTCTCAAAGCCTTAGACATTCCAAAGGGACATAAGGTTGCGACATTTAGAAGCTCCCACCTTCAATGGACCTATCCTTGACCATCAGTTGCACATTAGCAACGCGACTCTCATGAAGCGCGCCAACTGTGGTACTGATTAAAACCATCTACTTTCATATCTTATAAATTATCGACACAGCTATGTAATTTACTACAGTGGATATTGTATCATTTGTATCAATTTGATCTTGCCTGTAAACTGGCATGCCTCATGTAACAAACTGTTATTTGAGAATAAATTATTATTATTATTATTATAAGGTTTTAAACCCTACAGGAACTACTGAAAGAAGAAACTATTATGGAGGACAACCGAATAGGCCGGCTCCGTTGGATCCATAGCATATCAAGGCAGCTTTCTATAGATGTCACTCCACCAACGATGGAATAAATCAAGATGGCCATCAGAAAAGTCAGTGGTGGGAGAGCAGAAGAATCAGAAAACAACATACTAGCCGAAGCACTGAAGTCAAACTGAGAACATGCTTCACACTCCAGGTTTATTTAAAAAGAAGTAAAAGCATACCAAGGACATAAAGATTCGAAAGAAAGAAGATATGAGCAAATGTGAGAACTACGGAGGCATCACATTACTATCAGTAACAGAAAAGGTTTTCAACAGAGTGTTTCTGAACCGGATGAAGACTCAGTAGACGCCCAAATTCGAGATCAACTGTCTGGATTTTGCAAGGATTGGTCATGCATAGACCAAATCAGGACACTACGGATCATCGTTGAGCAATCAACTGAATGAAACTCGTAACTATACATTGACTCCTTCGAATATGGGAAAGCATTTTCAAGTGTTTACAAGAGAATATTATGGAAATTTCTCCAACACTACGAATTTCCTGAGGAAAAAGTAAACATCATATGGGATTGATGCGAAGAACTACACTGCAAAACCTTGCTTTGAAGACAGCTAACAGACTCATTCCATATGTACACAAGAGTCGAACAAGGCTGCCTACTCTCCTCTTTCTCTCCCAGCAGTAGACTGGATTATGAAAACCTTCACATCCGACGGGAAGCACAAAATAAAATGGACAGGTTGGACTCAAGTAGTCGATTTGGATTTCACAAATTACTTAGCTCTTCTACCCCACGCACATGAATATATGCAGGTGAAGACAAACAGTGTAGCAGCAGCTTCTACATCAGTAGGCCTCAACATACACGAGAAAAAAATAATATCGTCAAATACAACACGGAGGACACCAAACCAATCACACTTGATGGAGAAACTGTGGAAGAGGTGGAAAGTTCCACGCCTTTGAGTAAAATCATCGATGAACGTGGTGAATCTGATGCAGACGTAAAGACGAGTATTAGCAAAGCAAGGACAGCTTTACTACAGTTGAAGAACATATGGAACTCAAAACAACTCTCAGCCAATATAAAAGTCGGATTCATCAATATGAACATCAAGATAGTTCTACTGTACGGAGCTGAAACTTGCAGGCCACAACATGAGTGAAGTGTCGGTGCTATTGTTTCTGTCCAAAAATGGTCTGTGGATGACGGTAATTATCTCACAATTGATTGCGGCTTACGTCCATCAGTTTGTAGTCAAAGGGTTCATAGAACTGGTTGGGCTTTAAGGTATTTGTTTTCCCAGTGAGATGTAAAAATGATCAAAATTTACAGCACCAGTGAGGTTTAACTTGGAGAACTTTGCACAAGCTACAAAGACCTATTTAAAAAACGGATAGAGTCTCCCAGAATAAGTTCACAGGATGACTGCTTTCACTATTCCAGAGCTATGTAACATACATAGGATACTAAGAAGTGACGGTAGACACAACATACCTTTTTACTTGAAACTAGATCGTGAAGAACTAAAGGATACATTATTGAGTTCAAAAACCACGAACGAGCAAAATCCTCTAGAGAAACAGGTTTTCTAACCAAGTAACTAACTAGTGAAACATACTGCTAAACGTTGTGTTGCTATCTTAAAACAATCTTATGCATAAAATGTCAAATAGACGTATGAGGTTGATAGAAAAGGACTAAGGCATACTCTGGGCCTGTCAACCTCAATAAAATGCTATAAAATCTTAAATCAGTTCTAAAATATTCAGGACCATAATGGAAGATTAGAATGACTAATAGCACCAATCTTTTCAAGATATAAAGCTTAGGTTTAAATAAATAAGTCAACAAATAGCCAAAATAATAAATACAAGACTGTTGTAGGTATATTGACAATTTAATATAGCGGTTTCCATAGCTTTTAGTAACGAGTGCATTTCTTGATTACTGTTAATGTTCCCTTTTATGTATTATGGACTGTCGCATAGGCGGCATTCTTTTTTCATCAAACTTCGACTCGGGAAATCTAGCTCGTGTCGAGAAAGTCCTACGTGACCCAGATGAACCTCTATCATTATCAATTCAATCTAATTCAAAACAACAACAGCAACTAGTACAGAAAACCACTAATAAAGTTAACAGTAATATTTTTGGAAATTTCGCAATAGCAGACGTTCGAGCTGATTACGAGTTCAGGATGTGGATCAAACCGGACTGCGCTGGCACTGCATATGCGAATGGGAATCGAACATGGTTTTATTTTTCTATGCGCGGGTACAGTCCTGGGAAGATTATGCGGGCTACTATAATGAATATGAATAAACAATCAAAAATTTATAGTCAAGGCTTTTCCCCGATTTATCGCGTCTGCAGTCCATCAGCAGCTCACTCTAGGTATACATTTTAACCAAAGTATTCACCAATTAGTTATGTACATATTTATGCATAATTAAATAGTTCATCAAACTCTTAGTATTTTAATTGCTTGCCACTGACTGTTTCACGCATCACTCTTAGTGTGACTACAAATTGGACATTTGTTTGCTTCATACCAGAAATGTGGTAGGGATCAAATAGTCATATTGTTCACTTATGCTGTTAATTTACAAACTGAGATGCTAATCACATAGGATGCTAGCAAAGGTCTCTTGGAATCATCGTATTTCACCCAAATGAGTAAGCTTTCCCGGTTGGTGTTTTCACATAGTATGTCTAGTGCAACAGAAGATTCATAGACCAACGATGTAAAATATTCACTCTAGTTAAACTTGATGATTGATGACAGACAAAAACATAGTTGAAGGCAACCGCAAAACAATTCTTTGACGAGTCACTTTTATTTTATAATCCATTCATTCGATTTTTTTATGGTTATAGAAAATATTTCGCCTGATATTTTTTGTTCGATTGTGCGTATGTACTGTGCTATGTTGGCTTACTACTCCATTCTTGAAAGCATATAAAATTTATTTAGGTGGACATAATAAATTGTATCCTTAACTATCTGTTGTCTTAAAACGCTCAAGAATTTCACAGTACATTACAAAATACAGCTAAAGATGTCAAGCTATTTTTTATCAAATAAAGTGCTTTCTCTATCGGCTGAACACTTTTAGTGGTATAAACACTCATTACCGCAACATTTTGATAACAGTTCAGATGGCTGCTTAGGTTATTTATTGGTCGAAATATATGCATGTTTGAACTGCTCTAAAAATAACCCATTCTTTCATCATATTTTTCATGAGTTATGGATTTTTTGGAACTACTTCCAACATAAAGCGCTGAATTTTTTAATACTTTCAATTAATTGTTAGGTACACAGTGAAGCAATACTTTGGATTTTGATATAAACTCAGGTAAAAAACCTGGTTATCTAAGGGTTTTGGCGCAAATGCTTAAAAAGCTTTTTATTTGGCTTCTTTACGCAGAGTGTTATTCTTCTAACTTGGTGACAATTTTAAATTATAATAAGTGGTTTGTTTCTAAGCTTTTGTGTCGTGGTCATTGTTTTTAGAACAGTAAAAACAAGTGGCACAGTTTTTATGATTTTCTTGCTGAAATATGAGGAAAGCTCTTACTTAGGTCTATTCATGCGTCAGTTTTTCCCGTTGACATTATTTGTATATTATATAATCAAGTTTGTTTTTTGACTAAAATATGTCTTTTGGTGCATCCATTGTAACGAGAATCTTTGAGCACAATATTCAACTATTTATTTAAAGAGCACTGGCCTATTGGCTTGTATGGTGCCATATTATGATAAATAATATATGTGTATATCTATAAAAATCATTCCTTTTTCTCATTTCAAAGCAAACATAAATTACTTGGATTTGTTGGAATTGAAAATAAAATGTGAGTATTCATCGGGCTGAAAATCGACAAACAAAGCATATACTCCGGAGCGAATGTAGTTTGTTTCAAGTAGTAAGATGATTGATCACTAAATAATCACCACAAGTAAAATCTTTCAGGAGAAGTATTTAAAAAATAAATATGACATCACATCGAATCCGTTTATTTTTAAGGTTATAAGGCAAAATCTTTGAAATAGTCAAACCAAGGTACATCGTGAAACTTTGAATTGGTAGACCGTTGCTTTAAGTTGTATGAAAAGCTATGGGCACTGTGTTCAGTGATGAATTAAATCCATGAGTTGAGTTCCGAGTTAGTTTATGTGGTATGAAATGCCAACAACTCATAAATTGTTTATTTAATTTATTAGGGTTTCCCTCAATAGACATATGAATATCTCTGGAGTATTGTAAACCGTTATAACTGAAATCAAAGAATTTTCTTTCAAAAATGTGAATTTTTCCGCATCTAACTTCAATTAGTCACAAACTATAATTGTTACCACTCCTGAGTTTCAAAAGTCGACGTAAGAATGAATTACTCTAATCAAACCAGATATCAATTATCTAACTCAAATGAAACTTATTTAAAATTAAGTAAATAAAAACAGACGCATCTATTGCTCACCTGATATAGTTAGCAATTACTAAGTGTTATTGAGGAAAATTGATAGTTCAGTGTTTTAAAACAGAAATAACCTAAGTATTTGTTGCACAAGTTTAATCGCTATTCTTTTAAAAACCGTCCATCAGACCAGAAGTGATTTAAACAAGTTTTATAGTAGTGAGAACAAAATAAGATAAAAACTAATAGTTTATAGTAGAGAAAAAAACACAAGCCACATTATACGAGATGAGTGCTATGAAATAAATTAGTGATTTAAAGAAGGTATTAAGAGGACATGACAAAACATATATTTCATTTTCCTTCGATAACAGTAAACATTAATTTTATTATTCAATCCCTTTTCATTGCTGTTCATGTATAAAACTCATCACTATCTCTTAGTTGGCTTACTTTCATGATGTCAATAGTTAATGTGTTGGGATGAATGGGATAACGACTAAACATAGTTCTAAATTGTACAAGTAAATGTGTTCATATGAAGTTTTAATGTAGTTAACAAACCATTTGGTCTACTGACTGAACTAATAAACTGGTCTTATTATTTCGACAATATAAACATGTAGTTATTATTTTTCGAGGTGGGTTCGTGGAAAGCTCCATCAACTGGAGGATCAGTGGGAATAGATGAGTGGTGATCTGTTTTATCGTTTATTGAAGCTCCTTAGAAGTGAGCAATAGTGACCACATAAAGATTATAATCCAGAACATTTACTAGACCAAAATAATATCAGTTACTAATCAGCGATTAACCAATGTAGAACACAAAAAATGTATTTCATATACGTGAATATTACTATCATGTATAAGTTTTTATGTCCATTATTAATCATATGTGCATTTCTTTTTCATGAATTATTTAGATGGCAACGTATACGTGATAAGCCTTTTTGGGAACTAGTCAATGGACAATTTCTTTTAACATTTATACATCGATTCCAGGATCCACGTGGGAGTATTACGTATTTTGCGTTTTGTTATCCATGGACATATAATGAAATGCAAACACAATTAAATAAATTAGATAGCATATTTCATTACAATAAAAATGAAAACGTTAACGTCAATAATAAAAATTTATGCAATAAATATAATACGATGAAGTTGAGTCAAATAAACAATAATGATAAGTCTGAAGATACTTGCAAAACTTCACCAGAATTATTGACATCATTGAATATGAATAAAACAAAAATGAATAATGGTACCGTTGATATTACTCTGACTTCATTTGCTCTACCTTCCTCCCTTTCCTCCTCCTCCTCCTCATCATCATCATCATCACTATCATCATCACCTTCTTCCTCATCATATGATCCAAAATGTTTCCCAGAAAATGATTTATTTGATAAGATTTATTTTCATAGAGAATTACTTTGTTATAGTTTAGAAGGAAGAAGAATCGAATTATTGACAATCACTGATTGGTCTGGATGTACTTTTGTTGAAGAGGATCGCTTTGATCCATTATTATTTCCTGATTTAGATAAATCTAGACCATGGAAATTTACAAATAAAAAGGTTAGTTGATAAATGTTATCAGACAATAAGATAAATATCAACATGTAAAATGGTTGTAGCAGATGAACGTATTTTTGATACCGCATTATTATAAACATAGTTCATGTTTAATATCGAAGAAAAGTGTAATTGAGAAGTATATCACCATTCAAAGCCTGTGCAACAAAACGCTCTATGCAGGGTTATATAATCAGCTCCTAACGGAGTATGCTTTATTGATGGTAATTTACTCTTTGAGAAAATTGTCGATCGAGAGTATGGAGATTATGTCTTTCTGTGTAGTGATAATCATGATGATAGAATCCCACTGAACCGGATTTGTGTCTGCAAGTACTTAGCACATACTTATTAGTCTACTGAGTTAACATTCAGTGGTTAAGCACCGGCTGAGGACCTAAAGCTTATGGGTTAGGTTCTCAGTGAGGTTGAGAGTAATCAGTGACTAGGAGTCCTATACTGAGGCAAAGCATTTGTCTAGCGCCACCTGTCTTCCAGTGTTCCCCCTATAAAGGTTAATCCATGGAAAAAGTACCTACTGAAGATAAAATACTAATAATCGAAAAGCTACTTAATATCAAAGGTGTAGATACCTGAATAAACAAGGAAGTGTTTTTACGTTGAGTTTCAGAGATTCAATAAATCTTCATTCGTAGAAGATTTTGTGTTCTCATTTCTTATCGTAGGAACTACAGCGGTCCCCATTTCAAATTATAGGTTACCACACTCTATGTACAAATGAATTTCTACTCGATGGTTATACCTCAGTACTTTATAAAAATAATACGTAAAGCATTTTATTATTTAACAAGTAAGTTGATTTTATTAATCCTATTTATGATTTATAGTCATTTACATTTTGTTTATCTCGCATTTTAGGTTGTTTTTGTTAGTGCTCGTGTACATCCCGGTGAAACACCATCAAGTCATGTATTTAATGGATTATTGGAATTTTTACTACGTATAAATGATCATCGTGCATGTGAATTACGTAAACATTATATATTTAAATTAATACCAATGTTAAATCCAGATGGTGTATTTCATGGTCACTATAGAACAGATACTCGTGGTGTCAATTTAAATCGTGTTTATTTAAAACCTGATTTTCTATACTATCCATCAATTTATGCAACTAAAGCTTTAATTATTTATTATCATACAAACTATGGAACATTAAAATCATATGCACCATTTTTAGATGATATTTTTAAGCAAAAATTATATACTACTACTACTAACCATTTTAAAACAAACTCTGAAAATATTACTATCAAAAATACAAATAATCAACCTCGTATTATTGATAAATTATCACTTAACCAAACAATTTTTCCATGTGAAGGTGTAAAACAGACAAAAGAGAAAATCTTATCTGATTGTGAAACAAAAGAAGTAAAGTCAATTGTATGTATATTATTGTACATTTATTGTTTTTGTTGAGTAACTAAGTGTATGTAAATATTTCTCTGAGGTTGCATTATACATTGTCTAGATAATATGTTAAAATTGAAGGTAGTAGTTAATAGATAAGAGTTTCAAAATAAACTTCAGCAATGGAATCCAAGTACATCCAGTTTACGAGTTTTATACGAAACGAGGATCATGTGCTTCGTTCAAGTATTAGCCACTATTCAAAATATAACTAATGGTAGTTCCACTTACGGAACATTATTAGCATGTAGTTAATTCCAAATCTATTGTATGATATTCGTAATAAAGTAAGAGAAATTCTAGGAACATTGCTAAGTGACGATAAAAATTCAGTAATGCTCTTAGTTATGCTACCTCTTACTTCTTCCTAACAGTTTTAACGTTTCTTCATCTAGCCCAAAGTCGTATCATCACATCGGATATATTGTGTAATCAGATAATCACAATTATTTCATAGTTAAGTCAAGGAATGGAGACAACAACAACAAATAACTAGTTTTGATTGTGAGATTTTTCCTATGAATACAAAATTGGTATGCTTAAAGTGTGTTTGTTGATCTCTTGGAAGACGATAATTCTTATAATAGAAGTTATGAAGAAATATTTCCTGATACGCACCAACTTTAATATCACTTACAATAATAAAAGAACTGGACATGATTCTATTGTAATAATATGTATTTGTATGTACTCCTTGTCAATGATTAGATAAATTCAGTTGATGAGTTTCAGAGTGAAACTTGCGTCGTAGATTCTGCTTCTAGGCATAGACTAAATTTAATAATGTTGATATTCTATAGTTGCTCAAACATTTTTATTGTATGTAATCAATGAAATACATTTCAGACTAATAATGTTCCTTGTGTATATTTTATTTTTTCCGAAGAAGCAATTAACTTCAGAAAATCGTTCGATAAAAGAATATTGTACAACCATTAAACAAGATGAAGAAAAAGAAAAATCACATTTAAACTTTATGAATGATCATCTGTCAACTACGTTTGAGCAACAAATGGATAATCAAAATATCTTCTTGACAAAATTATTTGATACTGGATTATCATCATCAATAACATCAAACTCACTGTCAAAAGCAGATAGTCTTGCAGAAAAAAATTTATCTTCTAAGTATTTATCACCTATTGAACGTATGTTTACTAGTTCCAGTTCAACAAAAAATGATGAAGATACATCGATTGTTCATCGGGTCAACTTTCCTATTGCTGACACTGATAAGAATTCAATCACTAATCAATGCGATACAGATTTAAGAAGTACTTCAAATTATTTTCATACTATTACTGAAACGAATAATTCACCACAGAAAACATTATCACGATTAAACTATTCAACGTCAATTTCAACACCATCTCATAACACTGAATTAAATAAAAAAGTTTATAAAAATGTAAAACCTTTAAAACTAACTAGACTTCCAGTAACATGTAATACAGAACTTGATTCTCAAAAATCTCTTGAAGATTATCATGCAGCATCCCGAACTCAATATGCAATATCAAAAACAAGTAATTTAGTACCATTAGTTACAAAACTTACTACATCAACACTAAATTCCAATGTTGCAAAACATTCAAGTTTAGATGATGGAATATCTAAGAGATTAAGTAACCAATATAGACATAGAACAGTTGAACAAAAAACACTAAATCAATCAAATTACATTTCATATTTTGATAAAAATAAACGCCGTTCAACATTAAAAGTTGATTATCTTCCTTATTTTTTAATGTAAGTTGACTTGTGTAGTTTTAGTAGCAAATGCTTTATGCATCTTTTCTGTAAGTGTATTAAGACAGTCATTTATTTTTTCAGATAAGTGGGCTCTCTGCATAAATCTTACGATAATGCCATCGACTTTCTGAATGGCCCATTCCTGTGAACATAGGGCAAATAAGTTTGTTTTTCAGTATGGGTATTTGTAGAAATTGTAGTATTTTCAGTTGAATTTACAAATCAATCTAAGCTAGACCATTATTGAAAACCTGAAAGCATTGGGCGGCCTTTCCATCCCAGTGCGAGATTTCTCGGCAATGCCCACCCACGATCCCACACGCGGAACTCGAGGCTAGGGCCTTTGTTTCTTATTATGTTGAATAAGCAGAAAAATATATTTAATAATTTCAAATGTCTAAATATTTTTTTTAAAATCCTAGGCTAAAAATACGAGGTTCCTGTACAAGATGTTAAGATTGACTGAGAAAACAAGAACGACCGATTAATCGATGAAATGTTTTTTATCTCGTTAAGTGTGAAATAAGTGTATTGAATAGTTTTAAAGAGAATCTTTAATGGTCTATACACAACTGATTACGAAAGAACCAAATGAATCCATTATTTACAAACATTTCTATTGACTGGTTACTTTAACCAACATTTCTTTGATTTTTTTTCTATGTAATTATGTTTTCTTGGTAAATACTGCAGATGTGTGTCTTAAGGATTGGTGTTTGAGAATTCCGAAGGAACCTTACTGTTACGACCTTGAATCGCTTTTACCCCGTTGATACTTGTTATGACTTGACCTTGATATGTCTAAACTATGACCTTGACGCGATAGGCTGAGCGGCTTAATCTTGAGTCTAGCACGCGTGAGTTCGAGATGGGGCAGAGAGACAACTATCGTAGAACCTGATTGGTTGGCAAGCACGCAAGTGAGAGAAGACAAGACAGTTGGAACACTGAACTCTGGATTCTCTGAATTCGGATTAGCACAAAAATGTACATGAATAAATAAATTAATATCTTGACCACGACGTACGATAATTTGGAAAAATACAGTTATGTCCGAAACTGGGAATTAGGGTAGAAAATACGGTGCAAAATACTATGTTTAAATTACAATATTTTCGGAACAAAAAAGGGTGTGGTAGTGAATAATACATAGAACGAAAGCTCATGTTATGTAGAATAAGATAGGGACTAAAATAAATATAAGTGTTTTAAAGGGTTTGAATGAAATGAATTAACGTCCCAAGAAAATGGCTTTCGTAGTTGTCTGGGCTTCTTAATTCCCCGTTCACAACACTTACTAAATACATTTATTTTGTAGTCATGGATTTATAACAATAATACAGGATGCTTAATAAACAATAAATCAATGTCAGTCACACATATTCTGGTACAGTTTTAATTTAAGGAGATCTTTGTGTCATTTAGACAATTCATGTGTGATTAAATTTTGATCTAAAATGACTTCAGTGTATTCAATAGATTTAGAATATTGTTTTTGTTACATTTGAAATTTTCAACGTCTGTTGACAATTATGCGATCTACTCGATTTTCTAACATATATTTACATATGATAATCAAATGAAACTTGAATATCTTATAGAGATAACTACCACGTATGTTTTCAGAAACAAATGTACAGTATAGTATCAATAAATACTTCATTTCGAATGAGTTTTCTAGAATATTAGCTTAAACAAATAAGAAAAAGACATAAACGAAAACTATAACATTCTTCATGAGTCTATCGTATACGAACTTGATTCGATTTAGTTAAGTATATGTAAGATAATTGGTTTACGATTACCAATGTCCTCCATCAACGATTACATACATGTTATTTATAATAAACGTGAGTACTAGCATAAGTGTTGAATGACTTAAGTTACAATAAAGAATATTAAAAAATGTACAGGTGATAAAAAAGGAGAATGAGAATAATTTGAAAATAAAAAATGAAATTAAGGAATTGCCATGAATAATTCTGTTATGCTATTCTAGATTTAATGAGATATGATATACGAGAGGTGTCAGTTCAGTAATCTTTTTCGTTTTGACTAAACAAATTATATTTTATATGTTATAACTTGTGTCCTGTGAGCCCTATTTCTTGTATAACGTAACGATACCGTCAATTAGAGAGCAGTGAATTATCGATCGGTCCAATGACGAATAAAACCTGTACGAGCAGTCTAAAGTACTTATCGATCCTGCTTCCTGCCTAGCCCAGCCATTTAAGTCCAGAACATCAATCTCAGCATCCACAATATGAATCATTTATTTCAAACATACAGGGTTTATATACCAACTCAATAGACCACATCGTACCATAAAATATGAAACAACATTTATACAAGATCTATCCAAAAGTGGCTATGACTACGGGAAGTAGTAATCGATAGACAGAATGTAACTCAAGAATGGTAAATTGTATAATAATAATTCATAAGTCAAAATAAAGCTTATGGTAAGAGGAATACAAATACGAATAGTTTAGTTACTTAACAATTATACAATAAAAATATACGTATAGTATTAGACCAGAAATAGATTCTCTCAATTGCCATTCATTATTCTCATCAGGATATAACATTATATTAAATTTAATTAATTTTAATGTTAACTTTAAACTTTCATTATTATACTCATATTCTTTTTCTTTTTGGTATAGGAAATGGAATAGACCATATGAAAAACCCATAACAACCAAATATTTTACAAAATTAACTTTAGAAAATTTAAACATTGTTAATACACAAATAAATTTAAATAATAAAAATGAAAGAAATGCTAAACAACAACAATTGGAATCAATCAACACTATGTATTCATCTAATAAATTTAAATCTTATTTAAAACATGAAAAAATAAAAAAACGAAAAATTAATTTTATAAATGAAAATACTTCAATATTGAATGCAAAACAGACTACTTATAATAATAATAATAATAATAATAATAATAATAATAATAATAATGATATAATGACTACACTTATCCCATTAGAAGATACTATAGAATATGATTACAATTACAAGATTAATACAAATAAATTAATTGAAAAAGACAGTATGATAATAAAGTCAACAAATCATATAGTAAATAATAATAGTAATCAAATGGAGAATATTTCTAATGAAGAAATTAAACAATTAATCAATGAAGAATTTTACAGTTACGATACATCTCATTCTATTTTAGGCAATGAAGGATCAGATTCAGATGGAGATAATTACAGTAAATAGAAAACAAAACTTTTATTTATTTATTTATTTCTATTTTATATTTTAAAGTGTGTTGTTATATTTTGTTATCGTGACATAACCAGTGTAAATTTCAATGAATGAGCATTGGAATATAACACTTAATTCTGTTTTTAATATATCACTACTTTTAATAATCATATATATATATATATATATATATATATATATATATATATATATATATATATATATATAACAGTTGGAGATACTTAACTGTCGGACAACAAATTGTTAAACTGTTTTGTTGTGAAACTGTAGTGAACAAGAACACGAGTAAGAGCAATCGATTGTATTTGACACGAAATTACAGAGCATCTCAATAAAATCGTCTCAAATTTCACTGTTTCTTTCGCAAATATCAGTCCATCGTTTCAGATTTTATTGTTCATGCTTTTCCATACCAATTGTATCCCGGTTCCGTTCTTTCCTTATCGATCTTCTACTGAAATACATTATACATTTCAACACAGTTATATACTAATTATATGAATATAAGTAACCCACACCACAAAACCAATAGTAAGTTAAGTAAATTTTCAAATAAGCTTTTAAATATCATTTTTATTGTGAAAACATTGGGGGATCTCATGAATTAGACATCAAATGAACTAAATATATAAGAACTTTCATCTAAATTTAACCAAATAGTTGCACAGTATTTGGATGACGAGTTGATGTGAGACATTAAAGAGGCAGAATATATTTATAAAATCTTAGCAAATGAATTTTTGAAGTAAATCCAACATTTCGTCTAACAATCTGATTTAAGGTTTTTCAAGAAAATATAATGAAACATCAAAATTATCGAATAATATTTTGATATTTGATTATATTTTTTTGTTAAAAAAGCTTGGATCAGATTAAATGGTTTGGATTATTTTTTCTGGTAAGCGTTGGATGGAGAATGCTGGTGAGCGGCCTATGCTCCTTATCGTGGAGTAACAGGCGTAAGTAAGTAAGTTGGATCAGATTGTTAGACGAAACGTTGGATTTACTTCAAAAATTTTATGATGTAGTTATCTCCTTCCAAGGACTATTCAGTTATGTGTAATTCAAAGTTCATCATTTATTTATTCTGTTAATATTTTATGTTTTTAATATTTATCAAGAAAAGAATTGTTACATAATACAAATTATTGATCATTATTATTGTTTTCTAATGAAACCCTTACTCAATAGATGATATAGAAAGAACCATTATTGATGAAGATTTATCAATCAATCCATATTATGTATCAATCTTAGAATCTATTGAACTATTAGTTAAAAAAGAAAAGAATCAAACAATCGATTCAAATGAAATTATTAATTCAATAAATATCATAAATAATCATTTAAATATAAATGAATTAAATAGAATTCAATTATTAAAAGAACAATTACAACAACTTAGAAAAGCTGATCATTTATCGGATATTGATTATTTATATTTAAATCAAAATGATGATAATTCTGTTGTATTTTATTTTGATTTACATGGACATTGTACAAAACGTGGTTGTTTTCTTTATGGAAATTGGTTAGAAAATGAAAATAAAATGGTAATCTAATAAAAATAATTTTATATTATTTAGAAAAAATTAACTTTTTTTTAAATATTTAACTGATTGAATATATTTTGGTTAATTAAAAATAACATGGGAATATTTGATTATTTCAAAATTCCATTATATAAAATGATATCAGGAAAATAATTTTGATATTAGATTTAATAGAACAGTACACTCATCTTACAATTGATTGATCACTGGGTGGTGATCAATGTCTTGCTTGTCTAGTCCTTATTAGTGCAGATCGAATGCTATCGATCAATTGTAATTACATCTCAGTCCTACAGGAGGTTAGTCACGGCTCGGATAGCTCAGTGGTAACGTCTCTGACTGTGAAGCTGGGTGACACGAGATCGAATCCGCCAGGGAGCACCAGTTCCTTCAAGATTACAGGTACACCTTGCTAACGAGTGCCAAGTAGCACGAAACCCGGGTCCAAGGTTTCCTGTTGACTACCTCCAGCCACCATCTAAATCTCTAGTACACTCATCTATCTGAATCTTTTTCTTTTAATTGATGACGTTATTTTTAGAGTCCTACCTTTTGTATAGATTAATAAATTAAACTATTTTTATCTGTGTTGTTACAATGTATAACAACTTTAGTAGAGATACTACTACATAAAGTTCTCTGTTATTTGAATAATTAATTTTATAATCTGAATTGTGGATACTGTCTTTTGTATTATTCAGATCCCATAATAAAAGCGGAAAATTTAATAAGTATATTATTCATAAAAATTATATTGAATTTTAGAAAACTTTCTAAATAATAACATATTATTATCAGTAGGGATTTTTTGTGGAAATTGTAGTAATTTAGTAGTTGAGTTCATGAATCAATTAAAACTAGACCACCATGGAAAACCTGAAAGCACTGGAAGGCCACTTCGTCCTACTATGGGACTCTTCAGAAGTACGCACTCACGATCCTGCTCGCAGGATCCGAACTCATTACCTTCAGTCTTGAGAGCGAACGCTTAACCCCTATACCACTGAGCCCGCATCAAACAATGTTGAACTTCAAGCAATTCATGAAATTGCACCACCGCCCACCATTGTATTTAGTGCGTTACCATCTCACACCAGACTCGACTGAACTCCATTCGTCCCACATTAGGACGAATTGGCTATCCACTGCTTCCAGGTTTTCCATGGTGGTCTAGCTTTAATTGACTAATGAACTCAACTATTAAATATCATATTAGTCACTAGTACTTGATGTTTTATATGTAGCTGATAGAAATGCTTTGATATTTGACTAATACGACTTGAAACATTTTGTCTATACACTCTCAAAGTTCAACTTTCATTAGTATTTGGTTTTTAGTCAATTTTAGAACCTGGATTTTCAATAAATTATAAAATAATTTTAAATCCGACTAAATAACACTGTATTAGCTTTAAAATTAAATAACAAAAGCAAACTTCTATCTCAACAAATGTGTAACAATGAATTATCAATAAGCACAACTAACCATATTTGAAGATTATATACAAAGTCAGTACCTGAAAACAGAAGAAACTTACTCAAATATCAATGAATTTACTTCAAACCAATACGAGCTAATGTCTTACTTTAGTTTATTCTCTTAAATTATGACAGTACCCTACTTTAATAGTAATTACTTACTTACTTACGCCTGTTACTCCTAATGGAGCATAGACCGCCGGCCAGTATTCTCAATCCCACTCTATCCCGGACCTTCCTTTCTAGTTCGATTCAATTGTTGTTCATTCCTACTTTAATGGTATTTAATTACAATTAATAATAATAATAATTACAATTAATAACAATAATGATAATTTTATGAGTTATAAATCAACGACCAATTCAATAAGTTAACAAACATAAATAAAATTCTTTATAGACAATTAGCACATAAAAGAATAATGATTATAACAGCTTTACATTAGCTTTTTGAAAGGTAAATGCTGTGTTCAATTAACTGAAGGGTCTTAAAAATATTGAAGTGACAAAAACGGAGTACAATGAAGAAATAGCTTCACATTTCTTTTATTACCTGATGTTTTACTCGCTGTAAAAATTAAAGGTACCTATTTTCATATGGAATTATATGGGTTTTTTTGTATATATTCCAAATGAGGATGAAATATTTACCTGAAGCTCTGTAGTTTTTTAAAGATCCCCCAACTAACATCAGACTATGATTATTATTATTATTTTGTATATGTTTTAAACAAAATTTAATATAAATAGTAATGTTTATAATTTCTTTTCTTTTCTTTAAATAAATTTATATTTACCTAGGTAGATAATGTTTTATATGCTTTATTGGTTGGAGTAAATTCAATCTACTTTGATTTCGATTCATGTAACTTTAGTTTACGTAATATGTATCAAAAAGATCGTAAAGGAACTTCAACTAAAGAAGGTGCCGGTCGTGTTGCATTATGGAAACATTTAGGACTAACACATTGCTATACAGTTGAATGTAACTACAATTCAGGTATGTTTCATTGGCTTACTAAAAATAATTTATTTAAACATAAATCACTTTACACCAGTATTGATATCAGTTTGACCAGTACCATCTAAACATAGTAAGCACAAAAACAATCGATAACCAAATAAGTAAACAAAACTGTGTACAGACTAATGGACTCTGGGTAGAAGGTGAACAGTCATAACTTGCCATACAATTCTTTTCTGTTACTACTGAACGCTCGATTCTTTCAACTTACACACATTTATAACATTCTTTGAATCCAAAAATTTTTGTCATATTTAGTGAAAATTCCAATAAATCTACAGAAGATATTTCTTATACAATCTTAAAGGCTTTTCAAACAATCCAACCATATTGATAAGCTATAAATACAACACTACCTCTTGTGAATATGTAATAAGTGTGAAGCATACAAAGGATTCAAATGACAGGAAACACTTAACACTTTTATTTTAGCTACTTGAATTAACTAAACTTTTACTAAAATATTAAAAAACCTGCTGAAAGTTTGAATGTATAACAAATCAAGTGGTGTATCACACAAATGATAATGGGAGCAATTTGGAAACTCTAAGATAACTTCTACATTAGTTTTGGAGTTCTAAACTTTATATAAATAATGAAGCATGAAATCAACAATCAAGTTCAGAAAACTCTACAGTTTAAAATACTCTATAAGACAACTCAGGCTAAAATTTCCTATTTCTTCAAGTGACCTAATTTACTCCTATGATATTAATAATAGTTGAAAATCAGTAAACTGCTTTACATGTATTTAGATTTTCTTACATTTGCACATCGCATATCTTTTCTGACTTATTACAATGCTGATAATGTGTATTGCAAGCAGTAAAATTATGCTTATAGAGTTTATAAAGACTAATAACCTTAATCACTAACATAAACAACAGAGAAATACAAATTATTACAGTTATCAGTAAGTAAATAAACTGATGGATATGAGTTCAGCAGTTCAGTAAGCAAAACTTGGTAAGTGAACATTTACACATTGGTTTCGAGTATTAATGAGAATGTAGACAATGACATTCATTCACATTCAGCTAACAAATCACAAATAGGACGAAACACAGAGCGTGTATTTTATTGGCAAAAACATAAATTCTAAAATTGTTCTGGTTATCGTCATTATTATAATATCAATTATGACTATTTAAGTAGTATAAGATTTAACAAGAAGTTAACGGAATATACCCATTGAGATATAAAATAACTTGAAGTTTGTATTAAAAATATTTTTTCCATAACCTGTGGGATTAATGTAGAGAATGAACATCGCGTACTGAACAGTTCTGAAACTGTTTGAAGTTCGATCAGAATTAATAATAATAATAATAACTAATAACAAACGACAGAAACACTTAATGTTTAACCATATACATTAGAAAATTCAAAGTTATCTTGAAATTGTTTCACTATTATAGAGAATCTCAGAAATTATAAAGTTCCTAAACTGTTTGTTTTCCGATCAGATTTAGAATCGTCTGTAGACTATCAAGAAAATGAATGATGATTGTTTTCAACGAACATGACCTGAATTTTGTTTATGAATAAAAAGTTGATTTATCCAGTAAATTTATGTCATTAATTTTACTTGGCATAACTTCAACCAAAATGTTTTTCACTATATAGTAATGTGAATTGAGAATAATTCTAACTAAAACGTTTTTCCAAATTAATATAGGAGATTTGTAAAGATATAAACTGTAAAAATAAAAATAACTAAAATATATTTAATTAATAGTATATTTTATTCAGTGGTAGTGTTCAAAACCCATTAGGCATTATTCATTCTTATTTGAATTATATTGTGAATTCGTTTAGTTTATTATTATATTCACCTAAAAGTTACAAACAAAGGTTTATTCATTTATTTGAATACATAAGTATTGGTACAAAAAGGCATCGAATACATATGCGCCACATAAGTCACTTGATTTGTATGTGGGCTGTGATACTGTCCGGGTGCCTAGACCAAAGCAGGTGGTTTTCTTAGAAAGCCACGTTTGGAGCCTTCGACTTAAAAAGGTCTGATCCACAAGGCAGTGGTGCAGCGTCAGGAGATTTAGTCTCATGGTAGCCGGTGACCAACAATATGTTCATATGCTTCTTGTTCCCTCAGGATCTTGGAGCCCATGTACACCATTGGCTTGGAATCGGAGTTTTTCAACTCCTGTAGGCAGACTCTCCATGTCCACCAACCCGGTCAAAGCGCCGGACATTCACCTTTCTACCTCTCAATCTCTTAAACAACACCCTAACCGCGAGAAGGCAATGAGTTGGACTTTCCTAGCAATGGTTGTATGCACGTGGTCATGTGAGAGCATTTCGAGAGGAAAAGCTGATTATCCTCACCCTCGGCCGTACCAGGGCATTTAGAGGCAATGTAATAACTACTGTTTTAACTTGCTATAAACTTTGTATTTATTTATTTGAAAATGAAATTATTTATTCACAAACTTAACAATTTATAAATTTTCAAGTTTACAGGTTATTACTATACAGTCCTAACAGATAAAACAAGATTATTTTACAATGACACTTGATGGGTTACTCAAGATGTGTTTTTTTCAAATAATCTACATCATTCTTCTAATTTATTTTAGTACGAAATGTACAGACATCTACAGTTAAAAATGTTTTCTTTATGGTAAACTTAATTCATTCAGTGGTTAAGATCATGAGTAAGTTGAAGCTAGACCACCATGGAAAACCTGAAAGCACTCCTCAACAGAAAAGTCCCACAATAGGAGAAAACGGCCGTCCAGTGCTTTCAGGTTTTCCATGGTGATCTAACTTCAACTGACTCATTGAAATTACTATGATATCCACAAAACCCATATGATATTAATCAACATGTGCTCACTAGTGACTGGCTTCAAGAGGTATATCCTGGAGTTTTAGTGAGAAGTAGTGACCAGTGGAGTTCAACCAGATCTGTTGTGAGAAAGTAACTCACTGAAGATAATGGTGGATGTCTCTCAATTTCGTGGATTAGTTGAAGTTAGACATTAACACCATCGGATGCCGGCTCAGTAGTGTAGTGGTTAAGTGCTCGCGCGCAAAATCAGTAGGTCCTGGGTTCGAACCCCTCAGGGAGGTTGAGGAGTCTCACAATAGGACGGAACGGCCGTCCAATGCTTCCAGGTTTTCCATGATGGTCTAGTTCAAACTGACTCATGATCTTAACCATTGAAATTACTATAATATCCACAAAACTCATCTGATATTAATTCATTCAATTGAACTATGATAAATGAATAGGAAAATAGTGAAAGTTTTTGTATATTCTAATATATCTCTAAGATGTACTATAATATTATATTAGTAATGACATTACAAGTAGATGTAATTTGAATAAATATCTTATTCATATTCAGAGTTGAGTTAAATAAAGGCTTTCAATATAATATCTAACAATCACTATAATTTATAGGGAAATGATGTGAATATTTTACTTAATCTTTCTCTATTCTTTTTTTGTCTAAATTATAAATCATTTTGTTTTTACTAAACATTAGAGAATAAATTAATTAATTTTCTTTATAAGTTTCATACATTATGTCAAGTTGTTTAACTTACATCAAATATGATAATTAGTTACTTTCAACATAAATTAATGTAATAAGTATTAGTTAAAGAAAATGTCCTGAAAATAAATAATAATTAGTTATTCTTTTCATTTCATTATATAAGTTACACTCGTTTCAGAGTAGATGCCCTACTATAAATTTGGGACGATTAGACATCTTTTCATCAAAGGGAACATAAAATCCTAACAGAGATCAAACCAAGATCCTGTTAATCATAATATTTATTATTATCAGAATGTGTTTTGTGGAGATTTTTTTAGAAATTTTCACAGATTGAAATCATGAGTCAGTTGAAGCTAGACCACCATTGAAAACCTGGAAGCACTGGAGTTCTAGTGAAAAGTCGTTACCAGTAGAGTTCAACCAGGTCTGTTGTGAGATAGGAACTCACTGAAGACAATGGTGTGCGGTAGCGCAACTTCGTGGATTGGTTGAAGTTAGACATTAACACCGTTGGATCCTGGCTCAGTGGTCTAATGGTTAAGTGCTCGCGCGCGAAGCCAGCAGGTCATGGGTTCGAGCCCCGGGTGGTGTGGAGTCGTAGATGCGCACTGCTGAGGAGTCCCATACTAGGACGAAACGGCCGTCCAGTGCTTCCAGGTTTTCAATGGTGGTCTAGCTTCAACTGACTCATGATTTCAATCTGTGATAATGTTTATTATTTAAATTTTAATACAGTTTGAGATATTTATTAAGATCTCACTATATTTTAAAATAAATATACGCTGTAACATATTCTAGTTATAGATTTTCTATGATATACAGAATATAAAAACATCCTCTTGCATTCAGCTATCAAGATTTTGATTTTTTATCTAATTTTTCAGTTTCTCTCAAGTTATTTTTTTTCTCGATTCGATATCCATCAAACAGTGATCAAAATTATTGAACACTGAACAGTTTGTTCATATTCATTTAAGACTGTTAAGTAGTTTGTAACGACAACTTTACATGAAGTGAAACATATAATATTTAGTTCTCGTGGCAAATACGATATCTGTCGATAACCGAGTTAAAAGTCATTATTCTACATTTTTAAATTAAGTCATTTCATGATGTAACGTGATTCTGTCAGTGATACCTATTTTGTTTTATTTATGGTCAAAGAAAATTACAAGTCAACAGTAAAGTAACATTCAGTTAGGTAATCTTCATACATATTTATCTTTAAAAAGTTCTTTTAAAAACCCAAGTATGCGGTACCCTAATTTTAAAAAAAATTGATTAGGAAATTTATCATCAAAGTACGTTATAGACTTACAGATGAAAGTGATGCTAAAAATACTTTATTGTAAAGTAACTTTAACATACCATACTTGAGTTCCTCATTTGACTACTAAACTAAATGTTTTCAAGACTCCATTAGTCAATCAGTCAGTAACAACGTAGAACCCCGTACGTACGTACATCAGTTCAAGTTGCCACACCACATTAGCACAGAGATGCAGTTGTCGATTCAAATCCCGTAGTGGTAGAGGTGGTAAGAGTATAATCATCAATCGGAAAGATTAGGGTTTGAAGATGTCATTCAAGGAGCACAATCCAGTGAAATAAATTTGGAAAGAGAAAAAAAGGGACATGAAGAATTCAGAAGATTAGAATTTGGGAGAACACAAAGAGTAGATGCACCTGCACCATTTCAAACGATTTTGAGCCAAGTCATTCAAGGTCTCTAACCATCGGTTGGTATCGTTTCGCGGTCCCTAACTAAGAAGTCTACACCTACCATTCATTTTATTAATTGCTGAAAATTGTGAAGCTTTCAATGAGAATCATAAACCGAGATTTTATGATAGTTTGTAATTACTATTAAAGCCGAATAAAGGTTTTGAAAAAGAACACATTTCTCTGTTGAAGTAAATCGTCGTTTAGTTCTTAATTGTTGATTCATATTACCACTAGGCTTTGGCTACTCATGATTTATCTAAAGTCTGATTGATATTCACATTTTACGAACACTACAATATTAACGGAATATAAAATATATAATAGGAATCTCTAAACCAGTTGTATCAAAGAAATCAAGAAATAATTCAAATAAGTATAAGTCAAATAACAGGATAATCTCCACATTCATTGAAAGATTTCGTTTCTAATCAATGTACTAATTATCTGGTAATAAAAATAATGAACTAATCCAATATTATTACTTCTCTTCAGGTCCATTACCAGGTCGTCTTTCAAGATTTATTGCTTCAGCGCATCCTAATGACAGTAAATGTTTCACACCAATAGGTGTATTTTACGGTCCTCATTGGTCTGATATGGTGAATACAGCTAGTAGTCAATCATTTAACTTTAGTTTTAATGCATCCTCAAGTACAAGTCATACTAGTCATAGTGGAAATCAAGCACTTAATGGTATACCACGTTATACTCCAGCTCATTATGAAGACGTTGGTCGAGCATTAATGATAACTATATTAGATTTTAATCAGATCAATCCATGGCCAAAAATTGCAAGTCTTGGTGGTTCAACAGCTGAGTCTAACGTTGGTATTCCTACTTTGTGGTCATCGCTACCAGAATTTCTAAATATTAACGTAAATCACTTTTTATTCTGTATTTAAATAAACAAGGTTTTTTAAACTTGTTTTATTTATTCACTTATATTATAATGTTATATTTAAGTATAAAGTTTGAAATTTTTCGTGAGATGAGACTATGCATTTCAAACATACAAAAGTAATTTATCAGATAACTAATAAACGGTAGGCAATAATAAAAACACTATTGTTAGTGAGTTAATTCATGTGTACTCAAGCTAAATGCAAACTGACAGTATAAAACATACTCTTGTCAACAAAACATTTTATTGATTGTAGATAATAAGTTTAACTACCCATTGATGTTGTTTCACGTAGCCTACATATGGTTTGATTTATCTGGACCTCTCATCTGAATTTATTATAGATATTTGAATTAACGGTTGGACTATCCAATCTTTTATTAGATTTGAGCTAATAAAAAAAATAAGGTATGAGTTATTTTTTATGTATCAGAAGTCACTATATGGAAAGTAAACCTCAACGGGCTATCGTTATAAAGTAGGTCTAGCAACTAAGGTACCGACTAAAATTGAATAAATTGATTATTATCAGAATGGGATTTGTGGAGATTGTAGTAATTTTAATAGTTGAATTCATGAGTCAATTGATCATTGATAATTAAGTATCGTAGTTAAAATTCCAAACCATCAAATTTTCATTCTGCAAATGATTCGCACATCATTATTTCTTTCAGAATACCTTTACATTGTGCACTTGACTTCTGAGTTTGAGTCTACTCAGGAAAATTAATTCACATCATTTAAGTATGAAAGTGAAGGATATGCTTTTAAACAATAGGATTACAATCTAATAATCCATATTTTCAACTCCAAGTGCTGTGTTAGATTACCATCATATAATGTCATTGGCAGCTAATGATTCTTACCAGAAGTTCATCTGTTTAAATTCATCTGTGGTCTGGTGGAAGATATTTGAGTTGAACAAACAGTTTTATACCAACGAGCTTTTTAATTATATTTCCTTATGATTTTGTAGAATTTAATTACACATTTTAATAAATCAGATGACTGTAGGATATGAATATACTTTAATTGATTAGTTTACGTGTAAACTAAATGAATACTAGCTCAGTTGAGTCTAACGTTGCACAAACGGAAATAATACTGATTATGCTATTTTATTGAAATTGTTTAGTTCATGACATTTTTCTTATTTAGTAAGGTCATGTAGAGAATCACTGAAAAACAGGGGTACAGTTACTGCTCAAGTCAAAAGTGAGCTCCTACCAAACAACATGAGATCGAAACCCGGGACCTTCTACTTTTGTAATAAACGACTTTACTTTCAAAAAAAGATTCTATTCATTTGAATATTTTTGGGGTTTGATGAAAGTTAAGGCATGGTCCATAATCGTATTATCAAGATCGAACTCTGTTTTAGCTGATTTTTTTTGTCACTCATCATAAGCCTTTATATTTAATGCGTGGTTCACACCCAAGTACTTAATTAATGAATTGATTCAGAAAAATTATCGGGCATATTCCAAAGCTTCAATTAAGTATATAATAACTATGAACCTTACAATTTTCAAAACTAGATTACTCAAAGGTATTCATCTGTAGAAATTTGAAGAGAACATTCTTTCTTAGTTTAAAACTGAAATAATTGCATATGTAGACTGATTTGAAATAATCCTAAGTTGTTCATATGTTGTAAATATTATGTCAATTATTCTAAATAATTGTGTACACTTAAGTATCGAATTTCAAGATTCCATAAGCTTGTTTATTTGCTTATTATCTAGACTTTGAGAGAATGGGTACGGAAGTATATACGAGGGATTGCACCGAACAACGTAATGAATAAACAACTGATAACCCGAAACACAGAATATCTTATATCAAAAGTTGATGATATAAACGAATCACAAATGGTTCATAGATCATTAACGACTAACGAAAGTTCAAAAGAGTTATTAAATACTTCTTCTGTATGTTCTGAGTTTACTCAAACTTCACTTGATCAAAACGCAACGAACCTACTTACAGTACAATCAGATTATAAAAATCGTTCACACCAACTAAATCCAATTACCCATAATTTTAAATGGAATAAACATCAAAATGAGCAACCTCATTATGAATCAGTGGATTTATCTAGTTTGAATTCCGCTCCATATTCATGTATGTCATCAACATCAAACAGTAATAAAACGGTAATAGATGAAAGTCATCAAGAAAATCAGATCCCATCAAATTCGCATTATGATTATTTAGGGATGAATAGCGATACAACTAGTAAAACAATAGATCAAAACATTGAAAATGATAAAAATCTGTTAAAGGATAATACTAGTAATGATATAAATGATCAATTAACTTGTCGTAAGATTGAAAATGATAAATTATTGAAAATGTAAGTTTATATTACTTATAGTATTATAGTTATACAGATTTTGTTTTCATTCATTTGATTAACATGTTTAACTTAACTATATATTGTAATCTGACAATTATAACAATAATCATTATTTTACGTAATAACCGACACCAAATGACTGTTAGTCACAGTAGTATGAAGCTAAGGTTGGGTATTTTCAATGAAAAGTCGAAATCTCTTTCAAACATTTTAAATGTATATCATTTAATCCCGAATTTGATCTGTTATGTTCACATGGACTTATCAGATGGAATTAGGATCCATTTTTAAATGTTATTGAATTTATAATCTGTGTTAATTTCGAAATTTGTTTTATTAAAATGGGGGTTTATGGAGTTTATAGTGAGTTTAGTAGTTGCATTCATGAGTCGATTTTAGCTAGAAGATCAATGAAAACCTGGAAGGACTGAACGGTCGTTTTGTCCTAGTATAGGAGTCCTCAGTAGTGCGCATCCATGATCCTGCATGTAGGACTCCAATCCAGGAACTTCAGTCTCGCTGGCGAACACCTAACCTCTAGACCTTTGAACTGGCATTCAGAAGTGTCAATGTCTAACTTCAAGCGATTGATCCATGATCTTGTGCAACCATTCACCCATTTTCTGAGGTAGACACATGTCTCTACCCGACACGGATTGGACTCCACTGGTCATGACTTCTCATTAGAACTCCAGGATGTGCACTGCTAATGAGTCCCATACTAGGACGAAACGACCGTCCAGTGCTTCCAGATTTTAATTGGTGGTTTAGCTTACATCCACTCATGAATACAAGCATTAAAATTTCGAAAGTGACTAAACGAACCATTAGACATATAAATCCTTATAGCAACAATATACAGCATGCAAACAAATAGAAAGTGGTCAATTTCTGTATATATAATTGTTTTTTATTCATGCATCTTTTGTCTTAATTTGTATCAGCCCTTCTTCCTGCCTAGCCCTACCTGTTGAATCCAGAACATAAATCTCAGCCTGCGCGATATGAATCATTTGTATCAAACATAGTGGGTTCATTAAAGAGGAAGAATGTATTTGCATTAACTCGGTACCCAAATATTGTGAAACTATTCGTTTAAATCTAGACGAAAGTTGTTATATACTGGGTTTATATACGAGCCAAACAGATCACATCACACCATAAAATAGATAATAACTTTTGCACGAGATCTAGTCCAATGTGGCTATGAATGTGAGAAACTGTAATTAATAAAATGAGCATAACTTAAGAATAGTAAATCGTATAATAATAATCTATAGATCAAAATGAAGCTTAAAAAAGCGGAACATTAATATGCATAGTTTAAATACTTACCAATTATACAATAAAAATATATGTATCGTATTGGTCCATAAATAGTTCTCAAAAGTTACCATTCATAATTCTCATCGGGATAAAACAGATGGTTGTGGTATTTCTCTGAGTTTCATCTCCATATAGTGGAACTGTCCTGACGTTCATGTTGAAGATTCTGTGATATTGGTTGACAGTTGTTTAGAGTTGCATATGTTCTTCAATTGTAGAAATGCCGCTCTTGCTTTACCAATCTTCGAATTTACACTTGCATCAAATTGTCCTTGTCCATCAATGATGCTGTTCATGTACGATAATTATAATCTTTAGGTCGAAATAAAGCCCATAATAAGAGGAATATGAGTATATATAGTTTAGTTGTTTAACAATTATACAATAGAAACATATGTATAATATTAGATCATAAATAGATCCCAGCAGTTACCATTCATCATTCTCATCGGAATATAGCATGCAAAACAAGTCTATTTTGATTTTCTTACTTTATAAACAATAAACACATTTCATTAAAACAAAATATTTGTTATAAACTAAGATGATGGTGCCCAACAACTGATAATACGCGTTTGTAACTTAAGACAATATCAATCCTATCCTCACAGAATTCACATATACCAATAAGAGATGGATCAACTGTTGTCTTAAATATGTTGAGTCGGCTTTCGGAGAACTTCAACGGAGCCTCCAGAGGCCCAAAAGGAGCCAAAGAGTCCTGACCAATCAGAGCATGATGGAGCATTCTAGAATTCCAACGTGGCGTGCTACTATTGGTCAGTAGCATAATATGTCACTAACGGATTGGCCGAAATATGATGTTGATTTAACAAATGTTAACATCTATAAATACCCATATTTTCTGTACAAAAACGAACCTTGGAGTAAATTGTCTCTCTCATACTTTACGTCTTCTTTCTGATGTTCAGGACGCTGTATAGTTCTAACATGAGGGTTATCAGAATACCTTAAGAACGAATATAACGTCCAATCAGGAAGACTTAAACGATCAATTAAAAAAATCGATTAAATATTTATTACATTTTAACTCATTTTTCATATTATTTAAATATTGTTTTTTTTAAAAAAATTCTTTTATTTTCTATAGTATACCTGAAAATCATGATATAATTAATAAAAATTGTATAACAAATAAAAATAAAATTCATTTCTCACTTAATGATAAATATTTATTGAATAAAACAATAAATCAAGAATTAATTAAAACAACAGAATATAATTCATTATTATTATTAACAAAAAATAAAAAATCTTTATATAATAATAATAATAATCAATCATCATCTAATATGATCCTAATTTCATTGAATAAAATCAATAAATTTAATCATAATAATAAATATAAATTAATAGATAAAAATAATAAATCAATTTTAATAAAAAATAAATATTTTAAAAAGTATTCAAATGAAAAAGTAAGTTTATTTAAATAATGAATAAAATTTAAATTTTTAATAATTTAAATGTGCTTAGTTATCATATAATTTATTGATCAATTAAAATATGACTTATTTTCTTTTGTACTGTTTTTAACCAATAATATTCAACCAGTTTGATCAGTCTAGTGTTCTTATTGATCTTTTGTATGATTAGCCCGTCCAATTGAGTTCAAAACATCAATAACAACTTCCGCTATACAAATCATTTATTTCAGATATACTTGGTTTATATATCAGCCAAACAGACCACATTGCACAATAAAATAGAAAATATCATTTTTACAAAATGAAGTCAAAAGTGGCTTTGAACGTGTGAGACGGTAATCAAATAACTGAGTATAACTAAACAACACTAGATCGAACAATAATAATCTATCAATCGAAATGAAGCTTATAATAAGAGGAATATGGATATACACAATCTAGTTACTGTTATTTATAAAATATTAGTCCATTAATAGTTTTCGGGAGTTACTCGTAATTTAATCTTAACTAGGATACAACAGTATTAAGAGATTTTGTGGATATTACAGTAATTTTAGTAGGTGAGATTATGAGTCAATTAAAGTTAGACCACTATGGAAAACTTGTAAACATTGGACGATTGTTTCGTTCTACTGTGAGATTCCTTAGCAGTGAGTATCCACGATCCCACCTCGTGAGATTTGAACCCATGACCTATCGGTCTCGCGCATGGACGCTTAACCTCTAGACCACTGAGCTGGTCGGCATCCAACAGTGTTAATTTCTAACTTCAACTAATTCGTGAAATTGAGCGATACATCCACCATTATTTTCAGTGAGTTACTATCTCACAATAGACCCGGTTGAACTTCACTAGTCACTGCTTCTCATTAGAATAAATATGTCTGTAAGACAAGTTCTAAAAATATTTTTTAAAAGTTTGATAATTTAATTAAATGACTGATTGTATTCAACTCAATTTAATATTCAGAAAAAAACGTTTCATCAGACTAAATCAACACATTGACTATATGTGCTTGTGTAGTAGTAACTAACTGATCTGAAACAACAAAACAACAGTCAGAACGCGGCGTACTGGCACAACAGATATACTTTAAAAATTGAAAGACGCGGTTCGAGTACAAAAAAAGGGAAACTTATTACAAAATGGTTTTATCCATTGTTCTGCAGGTTCAGCTAACGTAGGATTTGTTCCTCTCCTTCCAGTACGTTTACTCTTTACTGCCCTGCAATAAGAAAAAAAACGTTAGTAATGTTACATGTAATCATTCTTAATACTGTAACAGCCTGATCATTTGAATTTTTGACTGCATACATCCACAATAACACGCCAAAATTGTAAATCTTGAGTCATGGAGACTCCGGACATCTAACACCTGTATTATAAATTATGAGGTCCATAGTTCAACATCATTTAGTATAAACGCTATACACATTTTAAAAAGTTTTGAATCAAGATAAAAATAGCAGATAAATTGCACTTTGGTTTCAGTATATATTGCGTTAATATTAACTTGAAACGTAAACGGTCTTTAAACACTAAATTTATTATACATTATTAGTATCTTGTCTAAAGAATAATAATGGAGTCAGAATATTGTATACAAATATTAGGTTTCTATTACATATCCATAGAATCGTGAAAAGATTCTATTGACTATAAGGCACTGACTGACTGTTTGCACTACCTATGTTTTGAATTTATCAAATCTTTATGATTTCTATAGATTATTCACTAGCTGCTAGACAACTATAGAAACTATTTATCAATCTGACTGTATTCGAATTTACCTTAAATTGAACTTAAACCCATGATTACTTTTAGACTAAACACGTCAATTCGAAGAAATTTGGTCTAAATGAACCACGACAAGGATCTACAAAACATTCTAATCCTTCTTCAAATATGAATAGCTCGAATGTTATTAATACCAAGAACAAATCATTTTCAGCAAAATGTCAACGACTTCAAAAGTCAAAAAATGATAAAGTATTTAGTGGTATTGTCAACAACACAGTCTGTCATCAAAGATCGCGCTCATCTAGATTGAAATCAATAAAAACACCCCATTATGAAAATAAATTACTAACTAAAGATCATGCTTGGAAAAGACAACAATCAAACATAACCTGCATAAATAATGGTAATGAAGCAAGCTGTCATGTTTTATCTGGTGGTAGTGATTTAAATGCTACCACCAAGAATAAAGAAAATATTCTCATTCCCTTGGTGAACCGATCAAATTCATGGACAGATTTAAGGATGACCTTAAAATCTGAAGATTGTATTAAAGAAATTAAAGAAATGTTTAAATCAGTAACATTGGACTGATGGTAAGGATTTTGCTGTTGTTCTCCTAACCATTTAGGAAATCCTTAACACACAAACTAATTTATGCATTCGTTGTACGTTTCTTGTATCTTTAAAACATTCAAAAACAGATTTAGTTGCCTTTCTATAATATAAAGAAATTAGTAGCGAAAAATAGACAGCTTTCGTGTCAACTTCTCACATGTATATAGTCTTCACAATGTATTTGACAGTAATCTCTTTTTTATTTTTATTTTTTCAACTTGTTTTTCCTCTTTTTCTTTTCATATTTCTATGCTACTGTGGTCAACAACAAACATAAAAATCAACCACATTTCATTAGAGCTTTTATTGAATTGGTTTTGTTTTTCCAGTATGCTTATATGGTGTATGGATAAAAATGAATAATGTTCATAGTAGATTATGTTTTACTTCTAATTAACATATCTTTTTATCAATAATTACAAAACTACCTTCTTTGACAACTTGCACTTGACGATGACTTAGTTTCTGCAAAACAACTTTAAAATAGTTTATTAAATATTAATAACCTTTTATTTTCTGTCATAATTGACAGAAGAAATTATAAAATAACCAATAATGGTTCATGGAATATGGTTACAGCATAAATAGCATTTCTACATTCTTGATCTGTCTGCCCAATAATATACAAAGCAGAACTTGTCTCGATCTTGTTTAAAGCCTAGATACTATAGGCTATCTACTTCAACCTTGAGGCTAGTAATATGTGATTTTGATATGTAACTAAACGACCTTAGGGCAGAGCAAAGAAAACTATTCTACCACTTGACTGGTTGACAAGCGAGAAAGAGAAAAGATGAATCAACTGAAACATTACTCGATTTATTCATGATTGTGAATAACGCAAAAAGACATGAATAGATGAATGACTAAAACGATCACGACTCACAAACAATTAGAAAAATTTCACTGTGTCCAGAGTATAAAAGTAGAAAAGATTACGTTTAAAATACAATAATTTTGGAACAGAAAAAGGTATACCAGTGAACCATGTATCTAACAGCTTATAGAATAAACAATGGACAAAATTTAGTGTTAATATTTTACAAGCTTAGGATTAAGTGAAATAACTTTCACAAAAAATAATTTCCGTTGTTCGTTAATTTTCTATTTACATCACTTATCCTTTAATAAGTTTTAACTAATATTTTACATGAGAACCAGACTGACTGTTATTAATTGGTCAGTCGTTATTGGCATATTCCTTATCCAATGATGAGTAAATTTTATCAATGAATTCACTAGTTGAAGTGACTACAAATCTAGTCAGTTTCATTTCTACACCAGTCTATTAATTACTCTGTTCTTGAAAAGCTTGATGGAAATCATGAAAAATAAGAATTTATACTAAGTTTAATTAAAGATCATTTTCAAGTTATTTGATTGCTTTTTCTAAAATAAACTATATATTCATTTGAATGATAAGTGTAATGTTATATAAATATATACCAAACGTAGTTTTCTTTAGCAATTATAATTTGGCCAATACGTTTAAATTATATATATATTTCTCAAGCTTAATGCTTGACTTTAGAACATGATATTCCTGTTTCTCATACATTTCAAAACTTCTGACATTAAAAGAAACACTAGTCTGTTTCATGAGAGTAGATGATCAGAAACTTTCAGCCAGTCAGCTGATAATATCAACCGACTAAACTTAAATACTCCTATGTAAATGTTATTGTAGTATTTATACGAATTAATGATCCCTTTGTACTTGGCTACTCGATGATTACGAACTCCAAATATAATACGTTCATTTGTGCTCTCCTAGTTGTGTCTGTCTTACATGGCACGACTTTGAGAATTCTTAGTTAAAACATTAATTCGAATACTTCTAATCATCATATTGGCTTTGCGATGGAGCCTGTGACTGGACATTTGGATTTACACTCAAATTCTAATGCTTTCAAAGATTACATAGAAAGTTTTGGAATCTGCATTATGCTCAGAAAAGATGTTAAGGATAATAAAGTCGTGGCTGCTTTCCTCATATTCATCAGAAAGGATGCCTACAGCTTACCAAAAACTTTGATATTCTCAGATAAGCCTATTTTACTTCCATACTCAACTTTCAAAGAACTACCATTAAATCATGTAAGGTGTACTAATTTCAAATGTCGTGGAAGAGAAAAATTTCATAAAATGATTCGTCAGGACAATCAAAAGGTTACAGAATTTGTCCTTGAATTTCAGAAACAGACTGCCAAGTGTAATTTTGATGATCAACTTCATGTGCAGCTACGTGATTGGTTGATTTCTGGGATAAATATTCTGAATTTAGAGAAAAAATTAATTTAGAGGTCCAAAAGTCCATCCCAAGAAATGAAAATAGCACGTATTAACTATGAGGCAGCAAACGAGCTTGATTATCAATCAGTGAAAATTTGCCTAGTCGTTGTGATAATCTGTGGGTCACTCAGGCTCGCGTTTACGAAAAATGATTCAACAAAGAATTGCAAAGCAAACAACAAAGGTGAGAATAAGTTTGGTAAATGTTTATCCTGTGGCGAATTTCATTCTCGTAATTCATGTGCATTTCGTAATGCTAAATGTTTTAAATGTGGTAGGATAGGACACATTCAGTCAGTATGCAAAACTACTGTTAATATTTCTTCATGTGGTCCTAAATCTTGTAATTTAGATCTTAATTATTCGGATGTTCCTAATGATCATTTATCTCTATCCACGATTTGGGAAGGTAATGTCCATATTCAGTAGCGATTATATACCACCCTTGGTTCATTTAATGACTTTGTTTTAGACACAGGTAGTATAGAGTCCGTTATTTCATTCACGAACTTGAAATCTTGAGATTCTAACGTTGTAGTAAGACCTACTGAAGTCTCAATTTTGAGGATTACTGGATACCAACTGCCCATACGAGGACGTTGTGAATTGCTAATAAGAGATGATAATTCTTCATGCGCGATTTATGAATTTTTAGTTAGTGAAACAGGACTATCAATACTGGGCTTAAGGAATTTGAAAAGGCTCAAAGCGAAGTTGTCTTTATTAGTTTCTAAAACAAATTCTGATGCTTTGCTTGAAACTTTGATAGATGCATATGCTAAGTGGAGTACTTACTTACTTACTTACGCCTGTTACTCCTCGTGAAGGAGCATAGGCCGCTCACCAGCATTCATCCATCCAACCCTGTCCTGGGCAATCCTTTCTAGCTCCGTCCAGTTGTAATTCATCGTTTTCATATCTGCTTCCATTATCCGACGCAATGTGCTCTTTGGCCTTCCTCTTTTTCGCTTCCCTTCAGGATTCCAAGTTAGGGCTTGCTTCGTGATGCAGTTTGATTATTTGCGTAATGTATGTCCTATCCATTTCCATCGTCTTTTCGTAATTTCTTCTTCAGCTGGAAGTTGGTTTGTTCTCTCCCACAGAAGGCTATTGCTGATGGTATCCGGCCAATGGATGTTGAGTATCTTGCGTAGACAGCTATTTATAAATACTTGTACTTTCTTGATTGTGGTTGTTGTAGTTCTCCAAGTTTCAGCTCCATACAGTAGAACTGCCTTGATGTTCGTATTGAAGATTCTCACTTTGATATTGGTTGAAAGTTGTTTTGAGTTCCATATGTTCTTTAACTGTAGGAATGCTGTCCTTGCTTTTCCAATCCTTGCCTTTACGTCTGTATCTGAACCTCCTTGTTCATCGATGATGCTTCCTAGGTATGTGAAGGACTCTACATTTTCCAGAGTTTCGCCATCAAGAGTGATTGGATTGTTGTTTTCCGCTTTGAATTGGAGGACTTTGGTCTTCCCTTTGTGTATGCTGAGGCCTACTGATGCAGAGACTGCTGCTACACTGGCTGTCTTCATCTGCATCTGTTCGTGTGTACGTGATAGGAGGGCTAGGTCATCTGCGAAGTCCAAATCGTCTAATTGATTTCGAGCTGTCCATTGTATTCCGTGTTTTCCTTCAGATGTCGAGGTCTTCATAATCCAGTCGACCACCAGAAGAAAGAGGAAGGGAGAGAGTAAACAGCCTTGTCTTACTCCGGTCCTTACTTGGAATGCATCTGTCAGCTGTCCTCCATGCACGACTTTGCACTGTAGTCCGTCGTATGAGTTCCGGATAATGTTGACAATCTTCTCAGGAACTCCGTAGTGTCGAAGAAGTTTCCATAATGTCCTCCTATCTACACTGTCGAATGCTTTTTCATAATCAATGAAGTTGATGTATAGTGATGAGTTCCACTCAACTGATTGTTCGACGATGATCCGTAGTGTTGCAATTCGGTCTGTGCATGATCGATCCTTACGGAATCTAGCTTGTTGATCTCGAAGTTCGGCGTCTACTGCATCTTTCATCCGGTTCAGCAACACTCTGTTGAAGACCTTCCCTGGTACTGACAGTAGTGTAATGCCTCTGTAGTTTTCACATTTGCTCAGATCTCCTTTCTTCGGAATCTTGACGAGGTGCCCTTCCTTCCAGTCCATCGGCACTTGTTCCTCCTCGCAAATCTTTTTAAATAGAAGGTAAAGCATGTTTGTAGTTACTTCGATGTCTGACTTCAGTGCTTCAGCTGGTATGTTGTCCGGACCCGCTGCTTTCCCGTTCTTGATTTGTCTGACGGCCATTCTGATTTCTTCCTTCGTTGGTGGGTTGACGTCTATGGGAAGATCTGTGTGTGCCGCTTCGATGTCCGGTAGATTCATTGGAGCCGGCCTATTCAGGAGTTCCTCGAAGTATTCTACCCATCTGTTCCGCTGTTGTTGAATTTCGGTGATTGGCTTGCCTTGTTTGTCTTTGACCAGTCTCTCTGGTTTAGTGTATTTCCCTGCTAGTTTCTTCGTTGTATCGTGAAGCTGTTTCATATTTCCTTCCCTAGCAGCTTTTTCCGCCGTCGTTGCTAGTTCTTCCACATGTTTCTTCTTGTCGGCTCTAATGCTCCTCTTCACTTGTTTGTTTGCTTCTATGTATTCAGCTTGTACTTGGACTTTTTCTGCTCGTGTTCGGCTGTTGTTTATTGCTGTCTTCTTGTTCTTCCTTTCTTTGATCTTGTCTAGTGTTTCTGTAGAGATCCATTCCTTATGATGGTATTTCTTTAGACCCAGAACCTCTTGACACGTTGAAGTTAATGCTTCTTTGATGCCTTTCCAGTTGTCCTCCATACTAGTTTCTTCTTCTTTCAGTAGATCTTGTAAGGCTTGAAACCTGTTGTTGAGAGCTATCTTGAATTCATTGAGTTTGTCAGTATCTCGAAGGAAGGCTGTATTGAGCCTTTGTATTGCTGTTTGTCCAGTTGTCCAGTTCTTTTTTAGCTTCAGTTTTAAATTGGCCACAACTAGGTGGTGATCTGAAGCTACGTCAGCGCCTCTACTGGTTCTCACATCTTCCATTGTCCTTCTTAATTTTTTGTCG